GGGGGCTGGTGGGTTAGAGGCGAGGGGGCTGGGAGCCAGGACTCCTGGGTTCTCTCCCGGCTCTGGGAGGGGAGGGAGGCTGGTGGGTTAGAGCAGGGGGGGCTGGGAGCCAGGACTCCTGGGTTCTCTCCCCGCGCCATTAGCAACAAAACCCCATTTCTACGCACGGCAGGCACACTGCGCCCGCCCCGACTCCGATCCCTCAGCCCCGCTCCTAATAACCCCCCGCAAAGCTGTTTCCTCCGGCGGGTGTGTGCGTGTGAGGGTGTGCACCCGCGCGTGTGTCTCTCTCGTGCGCTCTGTGGTTTTCTTTCCCTCACACGCTGATAGTTCTGTGGTAGCTTCTCGGTGCTCAGAAGCCTCGGGGACTGGGGCGCCAAAAACCCCGACCGAAAAGCTGGTGTTATTTTCGAGCAAAGAAAAAACCCCCACAAAGGGCACGCGGGGCACGCCGCCCTGGTGCTCCGTTTCCACTGAGTCACCGGCACCTCGGCAGCGCGGCCGCTCTAGGGCCGCCCTATAAATCCCCACCTGCGGGGCGCATTTCACACTGCTCCCCTGCCAGCCGGCATGCCGAGGAGCGCCGAGCGGTGAGTGGGGGGGGCTCGGGGCGCGCCCCAGCAGGCCGGAGGTGCCCGTCGGTCTTGTCGGGACACAGGGGGAGTCGTTTGGCTGGTTTAAGGTCTGCCCCAGGGTCAATCCAGATTCACCCCTGATTTCAGTGGGGACAGGACTCAGCTCTGATCTCAGCTCCCCTGGGCTCAATCCAGAGTCACTCCAGATCACAGTAGGAGCAGGGCTGGATTCTGAGCCAAGCCCCCAGGGTGACTCCAGAGTCACTCCTGATTGCACTAGGAGCAGGGCTGGATTCTGAGCCAAGCCCCCCAGGGTCAATCCAGAGTCACTCCTGATTGCACTAGGAGCAGGACTGGATTCGGAGCCTAGCCCCCCAGGGTCAATCCAGAGTCACTTCTGATTGCAGTAGGAGCAGGGCTGGATTCTGACCCAAGCCCCCCAGGGTGACTCCAGAGTCACTCCTGATTGCACTAGGAGCAGGGCTGGATTCGGAGCCAAGCCCCCCAGGGTCAATCCAGAGTCACTCCTGAGCGCAGTAGGACCAGGGCTGGATTCGGAGCCAAGCCACCCCGCCAAACAGCAGGATTTGAATAATGCGACGTGCCCGCATCCCAGCCCTGTGGATTGATCCAGACTCGAACTCCCGATTCCCACCCGGCTCCTGGGACGCAGACTCCGGCCTGGGTCCGTCTGGCTGCAGAGGCCCCACAAGCGTGCGGCCGGGAGCTGAATTTCGCATTCGCACCACAGGGGAGGGGACCCCGGCCGGGCTGAACCAGCCCCTGCCCGACTCCGCTTTCCAATCCCCCAGTGGACGCCCACCGGGCCCACAAAACCCCCAGGACACAAACTGCAGCCGCCGGAACCGGGGAGAAATACCCAACTCAGGGACTGGGGGCCCGGACACCTGGGTTCTCTCCCGGCTCTGGGAGGGGAGTGGGGGCTGGTGGGTTAGAGCAGGGGGCTCTGGGAGCCAGGACTCCCGGGTTCTCTCCCAGGTTCTGGAAGGGGAGTGGGGGCTGGTGGGTTAGAGCAGGGGGGCTGGGAGCCAGGACTCCTGGGTTCTCTCCCCGGTTCTGGAAGGGGAGTGGGGGCTGCTGCTCAGAGCAGGGGGCGGGTTGGGAGCCAGGACGCCTGGGTTCTCTGGGAGCGGAGTGGGGCCTGTGAGACCGGAGCTGGTTACTCGTGTGCGATCTCTCCAGGCCTAGCGTGATTCGAGCTTTGGGGAGGATCGGGGCAGGTGTGTGTGTGTGAAATTCAGCCTCCCACAGACCCGTGGGGCTAGGCTGGGGGCCTCGGGTCAGCAGGCTGCACCCCCCAGCTCCGTGCGTGCTGAGGCTCGGGGGGGCCACCCCAGATTTAACCCCCCCGGGCTCCGCGTCCCATGCCGCTGACGTGGCCGGGTTCCGTGACGTCCGGGAAGCGGGGGCCGCGGTGAGAAATCGGACGCGGGGGCCAAACGGGACGTCACCCCGATTCTCGGAACCTGGCCCCGGCCCCGCCCCCGCTGCCGGGAAGCAGCTCGAAGCGGCCCCTGCCCTGGGGGCGGGGGAGTGGGGTCTAGTGGTTAGAGCAGGGGGAGGCGGGCAGGGTTGGGAGCCAGGACTCCTGGGTTCTCTCCTTGGCTCCAGGAGGGGAGTGGGGGCTGGTGGATTAGAGCAGGGGGGCTGGGAGCCAGGATTCCTGGGTTCTCTCCCGAGCTCCGGGAGGGGGGGGCTAGTGGTTGGGGTCAGGAAGGGGCGTGGGGGGCTGTGGGGAGCTTGCAGGGGGAGGGTATAGCTG